TCGATGAAAGAATAGATAATGAAACAAATAACCCTTTACTTGTTGCACAGTTTCTACGATCACATAAAGAGTTCGAGAAAAAGAGACTACAGACGTTGTTGCTGATGGATAGAGCCGCGGAGATAGCTAGACAAAGAAGCTTTGGGGCGGAGATAAAGAAACTATACGGAGAATCAAAGAACACAGCAACATGTATAAAAGAAGAAAAAGATAGATTAATTAATTTATTAAATATAACGAAAGATAGATTACATATTGCTAATAGGAGAAGAACCAGAGCTAGAAAGGGACTCATCTCTCTACCCCCAGAGAGAGAAGGTGACCCTGTCTCCGCTTCGGAGACAGACCCCACAGGTACACCTCGTGTTATATTAAAAAGGAGACTACAAGTAGAACTAACACTAATAAATTTTTATAAAGAAAGAATAAAAAGAATAGAAGAATCAATAAAACAAATAGATACAACATATGGAGATAAACTAGCAACAGCAAGAAAAGTATTTACAAATATAAAAAGAGAGTTTATAACAAACGAAGCAGCATGGGAGGCAGCAGGGGCCTCAGAAGAAGCACTAAAGCCTGTAGGTACTTCTCAAGAGAGTCTAGCACAGGTTGAGGATTTTGTAGAAGAAGAAGAAGAAGAGATAGAAGCAGAAAAAATATTAAATAAAATAAATGATGATGAAAGTAAAACAGATGAAGAACTTCTTAATATTCCGAGTGTACATACGTGGGATCTTATTGAGTTAATAAAGAGATTCGGTAGTGACGAAGAGATTGCTGCTGCTGAGGCTATAAGACAGCAGCAACTGCTGAAGCAGCAAGAAGAACAAAAAAGAAAAGAAGAACAAATAAAAAAAGAACAAGAATTGAAAAAAATAGAAGAAGAACAAAGGAAAGCACAGCTCAAAGCAGCGCTGCAGCAGCAGCAGCAGGAACTGCAGCAGCAGCAGCAGCAAGAAGCAGCAGCAGAAGAAGAAGAAGAAGAAGAAGAAGAGACAGAAGAGACAGAAGAGGGAGAGGAGACAGAG